ATGTTTTTTTGTTGTTGTTATTGCCTCCTATTATTTGTAGCTCTTGTTTTTCAACATTCTATTCTATCCATTTTTCTATATATTTGGCACTACAAGAATGCATTTTGCCAACCCGTCTAAATAAATTCAAAAACAGTGTGCCCCAAGATAGACGTGAGTGTAGAGATCGGACCTCAGTGAACTTCATCACAGCTGTGAAACGTTGGAAACAGTTTCAACCTACCTCTCAGCATTTGAGGAGATAAAACTTGTGGCAAATCAAGAGTTTGAGAATGCAGTGAGCTATGACGACACCACTGCACTCTAGCCTGGACAACAGAACAAGACCCTGTCCCCGCAAAAAATAATATTAATTGTGCCAGAGTATCTGACAGTTTCAAGAGCTGTGGGTATATTTCAGCAAGGGGAGAATGAAACCTGTTGTTTCTTGGTGGATTATTCCATTTGGGATACAGGAACAAGTCTCTGTTCCCATGGAGTTACAAGCTGCCTTCTGCCTGTCAGAGTTTTGATGTGGGCGGAAAAACAAAACCATTCAATATATTGGATAGTGTTAAACAAATTGGAACTTAATGGCCGTAAAAATAGCATGTGCTGCTCTAACAAGGAGTCTACCAAGTAGTTTGGGTGTTGGTGGGGAACGGGAATCTGTGTCACAAGTTAGGTTTTACAGCTCATTATAAGGCTAGAGTTAGTTCTGTGAATTCACTGATGGCATAGAATGGCTACCATTTGTGCTTTAATGCGCTTCAATAATAACAGTTTTGGTGTTTTATGTTTCCAGAATATAGAGGTTGATGGACTATCTTATAAACTGGAAGGTCTGAAAAAATTCACAGAATATAATCTTCGATTCTTAGCTTATAATCGCTATGGTCCAGGAGTATCTACTGATGATATAACAGTGGTTACACTTTCTGATGGTAAGTTATAAACAGTGAAACTCCATTCATGCATTTGTTATAATAATAAAATACTATTGCATGTATGTCATAGAATCCATTTTCAAGGCTCCCTGACTACTATTTTGTGGAGTATATTAGCATAAACTAGAAATTTGGCTAATTTATCCACATCGTCTATTACAGACAAATTTAAATTTTCTATCAAAGTATATACTCTTAAGTTAGTAGGCACTAATAGGTAATCCTCCAAGTGTGTCTTTTGCCTACAAGCTCAACTTATTTTTTGTATGTGTTTCTTTATTTCTATAAACTCTCTAATACAAACATATATGTGCATGTGTGAAGATTAATTTTGATGGGTGTGTTTCTTTTATTTCTCCTAAAAGGATGCAGGTGATTAGAAGTGTAAATGATAGACAATCCCTCTATATGTACTTCTTAATTTGAAAATATTTCATAAGGACTTAGGCCAAATAATTTACCATCAAAAGTATTAAAACCGAACTTGAAAATGTATAATTTTAGTTCTATTTTTCCTAACAAATGGATGATTAGACATATTTTTTAAGATTCC